AGTAAAAAAATAGCTGTAGTAATTTCAATAACCATGTGAAATTTTAAACAGTTGTACCCCTTTTAAATAGCTGTATGTTTAATTAAAAAGTATCTCTTTTGAGAAGCTACGGTATCTAAGCCTTCTCATGATCTTACTCAGAGTACATCACGGTTGTTCTTCGAACAGCTTGACATAACTTATCAAAAGCCTATGCAAATACTTAGGAGATTCTTCGGCAGATCTACATTCATCATACAGAAAATCATGTATCCTTAAGGTTTCCTAAAAAACATAGGGATTAGGTTTAATATTTTGTTGTTCAACGATTCAATATTCTTCACACAAGATACAGATAGAATCTTCTCTGATGTTCATATAAATGATCATTCTGCCAAAAAGATTCTGAATTCTTTCAATTCTGAAAAAAATCCTCAGATCCTTATGTTTTTCTATCAAAAACTTACATGGAATTAGTATTACTCTTTCTTGGAGAACCTCCTTACAGCAATCTCCAGGTGTTATTTTTATGATCAAAAAGATCTTGTCAAGCACTAAAAGTAACATAGATGTAAGAATCGTTACGAAATCCTTTTTTCTCATAGAAAACCAGGAAAAGACTTCTGAATTTTTATCTGTGGAATGAGCATTCTCAAAGATGAATGTCATATTTGTAACGCTTGCTCCCACGAGAGACGGGATCCCTTCAACAACGACGATTTCTTTTCTTTTTTGTTCATTGTAGTAATTCCTAATATTCCAATCAATGCCCGATGGGCACAGAATGCGACGACTGTTGCTGGAGGACATGGAGAAGGCAGTGCTACCAATCAACTCTACTGGCCTGAAGGTCTCTTCGTTGATGATGATCAAACGATAGTCATCGCTGACTGCTACAATCATCGTATCATTCAATGGAAGATGGGTGATACGAATGGACAAGTGGTAGCTGGTGGCAATGGCGAAGGAAATCGATTGAATCAACTGAATTATCCAACCGATGTGTTGATTGACAAAGAGACGGATAGTCTCATTATTTGTGATCCAGGGAATCAACGAGTCGTACGATGGTCTCGTCGTAGTGGCACAACTCAAGGAGAAATCCTCGTTGACAACATCTCGTGTTGGGGATTGGCCATGGATGATCAGAGATATCTTTACATCTCTGACATCGGCAAACAAGAAGTAAGACGATATCAAATAGGAGATAAGAATGGAACTCTTGTAGCTGGTGGCAATGACAAAGGTATTGGTCTCAATCAACTCGACGTTCCGACCTACATCTTTGTCGATCAACAACAGACTGTCTACGTGTCAGACAACTACAATCATCGTGTAATGAAATGGAATAAAGGTGCAAAAGAAGGGATTGTCGTCGCTGGAGGTCAAGGCCAAGGGAATGCTCTGACACAATTGTCGTATCCTAACGGACTGTTCGTCGACACATTGGGTACCATCTATGTGGCAGACTCGTTCAATCATCGAGTAATGCGTTGGCCTAAAGGAGCGAAACAGGGTACTGTCATTGTGGGTGGAAATGGTGAAGGAAAAGGAGCAAATCAGTTCAGCTATCCCTGGGGTTTGTCCTTCGATCGACATGGCAATCTCTATGTCGTCGATTGGAACAATCATCGTGTTCAACGCTTTTCAATCGAATAGACTCGTCGCGATAGATTTTTTTTTGCGTTCCTTTCGTTTCAAATAAATCGTATTGAATTGATGGAATGAATGTCTATTCTATTCGCGCGCGCGCGACCAGGAACCATCCTGGCGGAGCCATGGCGAGCGTAACGCTCATGCACGCACAGGACAGACTCGTATCATTCATACCCTCCCCGTGAGAGATATGTCAATGAGTCTGAATAAGCCTGGTCGTGTGCCACGGACACCAAGATAGTTCCTGGCCAGTGTTTAACGTCTAACCTGAGAAGACGATCTAACTAACACTCATAACTCTATCTCACTCTCTCTCTCTAACTATAAAGAAAAAAAAGAAATGTATACTTACAATTCTAATAATTGATATTGAATGTAAGACGATGACTATCTAGAAGAAAAAGAAAAAAAAATTATTTAGATTTGTTTAAATTTAAAATAAGACTTACTTTCTATTATATCTACTGAAAAGAGAAAAGAAAAAAAACACATATTTTCAGAAAAATTAACAGGTTGCATATCGCTAACCCATTAATCTTAATGATATATATAATTTAAAATAAGAAAAAAAAATTAAAATAATACCCACATATTTATATTGTATTGCT